GGGGGGGGGTGGGGGTTTATTAGCCCCCGTATGTGAGAGCAATAAAGTTACATATAAAAAAGAATAAAATAAACAACATTTTTTTTAAAGTCCCCACCCATACATACACGCAAAAAAGACTATTGTAATGGGCGCATACGTGCAAAAAAGACTACTGCGCCCATTACACCGCACGTTACATATCGCCGCGAACGTAGGAGTGAGAGCAATAATTCTAGGGCCATCAATCACTGATAACACTAAACTGATGAGCGGTAAAAGCTTTTAAAGTGTCGCCTATGGCCAATTTTGGGTATGATCGTTTTCTGCAATTTTCGCGCGCGCACGCAATTTTAAAGCTTGACATGTTTGGTGTCTTTTTACCGAACATGACCCCGTCTTTTAGATTTTACCAAAAAACTGGTTAATAATAAATGTTTCCTAACATAATGTAAAAAAAACCTTTTTTTCCAAAATTTTCTGTAATTTTTCCTAATTATAATAAAAAATAAAACCCGCAGTGGTGATTAAATACCACCAAAAGAAAGCTCTATCTGTCCCCAAAAAATGGTATAAAATTCATTTCAGTACAGCGTTGCATGACGGAATAAACGTCAGTCAAAGTACTGCAGCGCTGAACACTGAAAAATGGCCTGGCCAGGAAGGGGGTCTAAACACCTGGTCTTCAAGTGGTTAATAAAAAAATTAGGGTGATCATAAATCTTTCATTACATTTCATAGGGAAACAGATTTTTTTTTTTTAAACAAAATGTACTGCACTTTTTTGTTATATAGTAAAAAATAACCCCCCCCCCCCCCCCGGGGGGTTTTTTTTTCAGTGGTGATTAAACACCACGAAAAGAAAGCTCTCTGTCCCTAAAAAATGGTATAAAATGTATTTCAATAAAGCGTTACATGACAGAATAAATGTCAGTCAATGTCAGCACTGAATACTGAGAGATGCGCGGGACAGGAAGGGGGTGTAATACCGCGGTCTTCAAGTGGTTAATATGAAATCTGTAAGAGCAAGTGTAGGAAATGTGATGTCATGGTAACACTGGGGGGCGGGGCTTGTATGTCAGATTGGTTTTTTTGCCTGCACTTATGAATATATTGTGCTCACTTACACTGATCATGTATCGCTTTGTTTTGCCTGATGAAGGAACCGGATGCGTTTGGAAACGTTGCTACACTTGGTGACGTAACTGTACACATGGAATAAAAAGAACTTGGAGAACCTTGGGAGTGCCGGTGACTTGCTGTTCTGTGTATATTCATCCTCACACTCCTCCCACATCACACCTATCCTGGCTGCCTTTGCAACATTCCCAGCGCCCTCAGGTGGAACATGCATCCTCATGCCATGATGCAGCGCTCGGCAAGGTCACATGACTGGGGGGAGGCGGTCATTACCGCTTTCTCCAAGTACCAACACCAGCTGACAACAGGAACTTGCTGCAACAGAGGAAGTAGCGATGGGGGGGGGGGGGGGGGGCAGGGGATCTGCGAAGGAGTGTATGAGGCGAGGTGGGAGTGGCCTTTAAAGTGAGCCTGTCCCCAACTTAATAGTACAGAAAAGGCGACCCATTTTAAATGCATACTGTATCTCCTTTGCTGAATGTATTTTCATGCACTTGCAATGTGCGTTCTGACTCTGCCCACACATCTTTCCATTCTCCAATCCCATTCAGAGGGATTGGAGAATGGAAAGACCCCAAGTCCCATCTGCCAACACAGCAGAGGGACCCACAGTTTGCACAGACATGTGCAGTGACATCACTATAGTCCATTGCTTACTTCCTCCATCCCCATAATGTCTGTATGGACTTGGGCCTGGGGTTAAGCAACGCAGGAGCGTGCGCCTGGGGGTAAGCAACGCAGGAGCCTGCGCCTGGGGCTCAATGATCGCTGCATTGCTCTGCGCTCAGTAGCAAAAATGTAATAAATGCACACCTGTCTTTCATTTGCGTCTTTAGGTGCGTCTATATGGGAGTAGAGGGCTGTAATTTTTTACTATACGTGCTATATGTTACTATATATTTTTTTTAATACTTCAACTTTATTGCCATCACATAGGGTGCTAACAAGCTCCCAATATGATAGAGGAATTGACAGGTCCTCTTTATGTTATTGTAGGCAGCCCATCACACTAGGGCTGAAACAACTAATCAAAATCGATAATGAGAATTGTTGCCAACGATTCTCAATCGTTTATTTGAATCCTCCCTGCTGCCACTCTGCTCACCCATTCTACTCCCCGCTGGTGCTGGCTGCAGCGGTCCGTGTCCCTTTCAACCCCCATTGTTCTCCCTGCGTCGGCAGAGGCGACACAGACCACTGCAGCCGGCACCAGCGGGTAGAAGAGACTGCGGTGACCCCCCGCTGCCCGCCCATTCTTTTGCCTGCGGCATAAAGCCGGTGTTCCGTCAAGGATGCCGACCGCGTCTGATTTGCCCCCCCATCAGTGGCTGGAAACAATAGCCAATTTAAAATATCCAACTGACTTTCTCCTTCAATTCCCTCCTCTGCTAATTGACAGCAGGCAGTGGCTGGGTGCAATAGCCAGACTGCTATTGGCTACTGTAATTTAAAATATCCAATAGCAGGCTGGCAATTGCTCCCAGCCACTGTGTGCTGTGAAAGGTCTCCTTTCCCTAGCAAAAGCTATTGAGGTGGCCTAACTGAACCCCTAATGTCACCTTAAAGAGAACCTATCACCTCTAATGTGCCAGCACATAGGAGGCTTGCGAGCCCCACCATGTGATAACAATGAAGAAAAAAAAAAACAAAGAAGAAAGAAGGTTTAACCACTTGTCGTCCGCCCGTTGTGAATAAACGAACGGACGGAAAGCTCCCATAAGTGGGGCGCCGTAAACGAACGGCTTTTTTGCACACACTGACAGATGTAAACAATCGGTAACGGCTTTTACACACACAAGCGATTGT